TTCTGTCACTTATACACACCTCTCTTGAGGGACTTGGAATACGTTTCAAGGTCTAAGTTATTGTTCATTTACATCTTCAATAGTTATCTCAGACGCATTCCTCCACATTCTGAAACCCTCTTTTATTTCAGGGTAAGTTTGCTATCTGACCAAAAGCACTCTTAGAGAAGTTCAATGCAGGCATCCTGGTAGCACAGGGGTTAAGTGTTTGCCTATTAAACAAAAGGTCAGCAATTGATACCTACCAACCACTCCAAGAGAGAAAGATGTGGCCATCTGCTTCCACAAAGATTACAGCCTTGGAAACTCTGTGTCGTTGTTAAGTGCCGTGGAGTCGGTTCCGACTCATAGCGACCCTACACAGGGTTTCCGAGGCTGCAAAAATCCTTACGGGAGCAGACCGCCTCATCTTTCTCCCGCGGAACCGCTGATAGTTTCGAACTGCTGACCTTGCGGCAGACAGCCCGATTCGTAACCAATACGCTACAAGAGCTCCTTTGGAAACCCTATAGGGCAGTTCTAATCTGTTCTGCAGGTTTGCTATGAGTTGAAATCAACACGGCAATTATAGGTTGGTTTGAGGGCGGTTCCTCTGTTTTTATTTGACCCCTAATTTTATTAAAGGAGCTCTGGTAGAGTAGCGGTTACGAATCGGGCTGCGAACTGCAAGGTCAGCAGTTGGAAACTATCAGCTGCTCCGCAGGAGAAAGATGAGGCTTTCTGCTCCCGTTAAGATTTACAGCCTCGGAAACCCTGTACAGGGTCGCTTAGAGTCAGAACCGACTCCACGGCACATAACAACAACAACAACAATTTTATTAAGGAGTCCTGGTGTGACACTGTAGGATAAGCACTCAATCACAAGGTTGGTTTAAACGGTAGATTCGCAGTAAAAACTCAATAGCTGTTTCTCAGAAACCCTATGGAGGGTCAATATGGGTTGGAACTGACTACGAGGCACTTAACAACAGCAACAACAATTTTATTAAGACAATTAAGGTATCCTCAATCATAACATCATCTTTGCTACTTCAATCCAGTGAAATCACAGATCTTGAGGTAAATTACATACTAGTATGTAATTTACTAGCATACATACCATGCTAGTATGTATGATGTGAATGGTGCTATGTGTGTGCATGAACACAAATATATACATGCATATGCGTATGTGTGTAATGATCATTGTGTAACATTAATTTCATATCTTTAAATGCAAGTTATCCATTGCACACCTGGCCTGGGTTTCCTGTTCCAACTTCACACTCCTCTTTACGTCTTTTTCTTTTCATGGTGTCCACAAATTCCAACTGGTCTATGAAACACCATATTTTCTTACCATAACTAAGTTACAAGGGAGTTTTCTACCCTTTTGGCAGAAAAGATTAGATCTGCTGTTGGCAATGATGTCGCAATTGCCTTTTCTTTTTCACCAACTCTCCCCTTTGTCTCTTTCATTTGCAGCTGTCCAATCCATATTATTTTGGAACTCTTCTAAGAATAACTGTAATTTTGAATGCTTTGACTGTGGGAGGCATTATTTATAAGCCTTTGTGGTTTTAGGTAGAAAAAGAAAAGCTTCCAAGCAGAATTCTACTAGGAAAATTGTCCCCCTTTCGTCAAATAATTGTCTTCTGTTGTAATTCCTAATAAAAAGGTTTTCTTTTGCCACAATGTATTAAAGATCCTGCCTGATTTTGAACTAACTCTTTCTTATTCTACTCTGTGATGGTTATATTAGAAGTATGAAGTTGTGAATTGGGCTTTCTGAAGTACCTCCTATTAGGAATTATGTTTGGCCTTAGTATCAGAGATCCGCCAGAGGCGTGCAGTATCCAAAGCTGGTCTGAGTGTCCTACAGCATCAGGAAAGCTCTACTAGCTGCCTGTTCCACTCTGCATAACCTCACTTTGTAAGAAGTAGAAAGGAGAAAAGTAAAAAATGGTTGAGAGAGCTATCAGCTCCTGTTACAAAGCCTTCCTGGAAGTCTCCTGTAACTCTTGACTTAAGTCTCAGGGTCCAGATTTGCTCATATGGTTACAACCAGAGAGGCTTCCAGGGAAGCTGGAAATGTGCTTTTTAGTGAGTGTATTGCCATCTCCTTAACAATGACATTGTCTTGCGAAAGATAAAGAGAAGGTTACTGTGTTGGTACCTGCCTTCCATATCATTCTAAAAGGGGCCTTTTTAGACTTCATCAGGACCTGTATGCCAAAAGTTAGATACAAGGCATGGGGGGTGGGGAGTGGGGAGATACTTAAGTCAGCATATCGAGTTAAATTAAGTAAACAATTAAACTTCTAAAAACAAAAAACAAACTCATTGTTCCCAAGTGGATGCCAACTCATAGACTAATGTTGTTGTTGTTGTTATGTGCCGTGGAGTCGGTTCAGACTCATAGCTACCCTGTACAGGGTTTCCGAGGCTGTAAATCTTTACGGGAGCAGAAAGCCTCATGTTTCTCCCATGGAACAGCTGGTAGTTTCGAACTGCTGACTGCTAAGATTAGCAGACTGATTCATAACCACTATGCTACCAGAGCTCCTTCATAGACTCATAGCATCCATATAAGAAACAGTAGAACTGCACCATACAGTTTCCAAGCCTGTAATCTTTACAAAGGAATCCTGGTGTGGCACTGTGGGCAAATGCGTCAGATTGCAAAGTCGTTCGAACTCCAAGCTCCGTGGTTCAGGCTCATCAGCTACTCCTTGGAAACCCTATACAGGGTTGCTATGGGTCAGAATCAACTCAACGGCACTTCACAACAACAACAACTATCTTTACAAAAGCAGATTCCCCCATCTTTCTCCCACAGAGCAACTGATGGATTCAAACCACTGGTCTTTTGGTTAAGCACTTAACCACTGTGCCACCATGGCTCCTGATTTAAAAAAAAAAAAAAGTAAAAAAATATCCACTAGGTCTAGTCCAACTAAGGGGGACTCCATGTGTTACAGACTAGACCTGCACCCCATAGGGTTTTCATGACTGTGACCTTTCTTCTGAGATGCCTTGCCAACCTTTCATCTTGTAGCTGCACACTTACCATTTACCCCACCCAAATACCCCTTCTAAATAGTTACCCAAGCTAAACTAAACACATTGCAGTTGAGTTGAATCCAACTTATAGTGACCCCCTAGGACAGAGTGGAACTACCCCACAGGATTTCCAAGGTTGTAATCACAGACTGGTATGGCATTGCAGGTTAATGCACCAGACCGCAAAGCTGTTTGAACTGCAAGGTTGGGGGTTCAAGCTCACCAGCTGCTCCTCAGAAACCCTATACAGTGTCACTATGGGTCGGAACCGATTCGATGGCACTTCACAACAACACCAACAAATCAGACTACTGCATCTTTCTCCCACAGAGCAGCCAGTGTGTTCAAACTGACAACCTTTCTGTTAGCAGCCACGCATTTCCACACTAAGGTGCTAGAGTTGCTTTCTAGATGGTTTTGCTGTTGCCACTAAGTGCTGTTTAGTTGGTTCCAACAAATATGGACCTGTACAGGATTTCTGAGGAGAGGCTGATGGTTTGGAAACACAGACCTTAAGGTTAGCAATCCAGTGCTTATCCTACAACACCATGCCAGGACCCAGTCTATGTAGTTGTTATAAAGTGCCGTTGAACCAGGTCCAACTCATAGTGACTCTGTGTAGGGTTTATGAGAAGCGACTGATGAGTTTTAAATGCCGACCTTGTGATTGAAACAAAGGAGGCTGTCTGTTTCTCTAAAGATTTCTAGACTCAGAAGCCCTATACAGGGTCACTATGAGTCAGAATTGACTAGATAGTAGTGGGCAGCTTTATTATGGTATTTAACAGTGTTTTTTTTCACTCCTTTGGTTTATAGCAAAAATAAAATGTGCTCTAGGGAAAAGACAAAAAAAAAATAATAGTAATAAATTAGACACTTTAAACGCTCACAAAATCTGGCAACAACCTCAATCACACTTTGCCCTTATATGTTAATTTCTTATGGCTGCTATAGCAAATTACCATAAACTTACTGACTTAAAAATGCGCACATCTTTATCTTATAGTTCTGGAAGTCAGAAGTTTAAAAATCAGGTTTTTTTAGGTAAAAATCAAGGTGCTGGTAGACCTATGTTCCTCTGGAGACCCTGCTTCCTTGCTTTTCCAGCTGTGTGGCACTGTGGGTTTAATGTGCTGGACCAAAAGGTTGGCAGTTCAAGCTCACCAGTCACTCCTGGGAAACCATATACAGGACACTTAACAACAACAAGAGACTAGCCTCAATCCTTGGTCAATGGCCCCATCTCACAGCTTCTTCTGTCACCACTTCGAGCATCACAGCACCATCTTCCAGACTCTGACCTTCCTTCGTTCCTCTTACAAGGACTCTGTGATTATTTGTGGTCCACCTAACACTCCAGGAAAAGTTCCCTTTCTTGAAATTCTTAATTAAATGACATCTGCAAGGTTCCTTTTGCCATGAAAGGTAATATATTCACATATTCCTAGGATTAGGATGTGAGCATCTGTTATTCACCTTCTGACAGCTTGTAAAATATGAAAATACCTGAGCTTAACAGATAGATCATGTTACGGTCACACAATCGCTGCTTTCTATTGTTGTTGTTGGTAGGTGCTGCTGATCCTATGTGAAACTGAACAAATCACTGTCCAGTCTTGTGCCATCCTCACAATGATTCCTATGTTTGAACTAATTGTTATAGCCACTGTCAGTCCATTTTATTGAAGAGTTTTCTTTTTCTCTGACCCTATATGCCAAGCCTGATGTCCTCCACTATAAACTGGATCTTCCTCCTGCCCAAAGTGTCATTACCTAATGCACAGTCAAAATAAAGAAACCCCATGAGAACCATGTTGAGTGCACCCAAACCCTTTGTGTGTTAAGAGTTTTAGTTGATAAATCCTATCCAAAATTTGCCTAATAAAATGTTCTCATGTACCTAAGAAATCTAATTCTTTCCTAACTTTTCTTTTTCTTTTTATATTGTTTTTTTCCAGAAAAGCAAGATAACAATGCAAGAATTGAAACTATAAAGTCTCTTGTACAAAAACTCCCTCCACCAAATCGTGACACCATGAAAGTCCTCTTCCGACATCTAACTAAGTAAGTTGTAAAGATTTCATACAATAATTTTCTAATTGAACAGTATTTCATTTTAGATCTTTCTGGCATGAGTTTCTAGATATATTTATCTCAGATTTCCTCCTATAGCTTTATGTCTTCCCTGAAGATGCTGGAGAATGCACTAGAGTTACATTTTAAAGGAGAACGTACAAAAGGAACTTCTAAAAGAATGTATTATTTTCTGAGCTTTACAACAAGTAAATGTTAATTGACTATCTTAACCCTTTCCAGAGCACTAAGATGGGCTATCTTTACCTTGTTAATTTACTATATTGGAAAGAACATGAAATGATTCAAATATGAGTTTAAAACCCAACCCTACCACATACCAAGTGTTTAGACTACAGATAAGTTACCTAGTCATCCATTTTTGGAATGAGGCATTCTTACAGATTGTTTAGCAAATTCATTACATCATTTTTAATTGTAAAAGTGATATATGCCAATGAGGGGAATCAAACAATTGAGGTATATATATACTTTAAATGGTTAAATCTGCTTGCCATCTTTGCTTAGCCTGATAACATTTTGTCAATATATTTCTTTCTAGACCTGTTTCTGAGTACATGCAAATGTGTGTGTATATTTGCTTATTGTGTTTGAAGTACAGCATACTGAACATATTATTCTGCAACTAGTTTGAAATTCATGAATAGTCTTTTATTTCATTAAACAGACTTATATGAGTCTTTCTAATGATGGTGTTTTGGTTAACTAACACTGCTGTAGCACAAATAGCATATGTGGATGACTTTAAGGCACAGAAATTTATTTTCTCACAGTTCTGGTGGCAAAAAGTCCAAATCAGGGGCATGGCCACATCCATCCCTTTCTTTCAGCTTTTTTGGTATTTCTTGGCTCTTTGGCATTCCTTAACTTTCAGACAATCCTCACATGATTCAGCTTCCACCATATGTGTATCTCCATGTATATTCTGTTTTTTTTTTTTATTCAAAAGTGATCAGGTTTAGGATCCAGCTGTGAGCTGGTATGGACTTCATAACAATACAGGATCATATTTACAGGGATAAGGATTAGGATTTTAACACCTGGAACAAAATTAAATCCATTACAGACACCATAGAACATTCTATTATAAATAATCCATGGTTTGCCAAACCAGTCATTGCATCAGGGAACAGATTTTAATCTAATTCATCATGTTAGTTTTTCTCAAATTTTATTCTCAAAGGACAACCTTGTCTCAAATTCAGAACATCCTTTATTGCTAGAATGTCACTTCTTATCACTGCCACATACTGGCTATAAGAGGAAGCCCAGTTTAATTGATTCAGTGAAAGGATCTTGAGCTTTAAAGTAAAGGAGAGAGACAGAGTCAAATCTTGTTCAATACTTTACTGCAGTTATGGTCTTAGGCAAATAAAATAGGATTAAGTAATTCCAACCATATCCTGTGGTTATGATTATTAAATGAGATAATGCATATAAAATGGCTGGCACAAGGTGAGAATTTCTCAAATGTTAATTTTTTTGTCTTAGGCTCCGGACATACCATGGTATGGATTTCAGATTACAAGTAAATATGGGAATGCTTATCTCAGTAACTTTAACTGAACCACGTCATAAAACAAACAGAAAAGTATACTCTTTAATGCTATACAACACCTATCCTTTGTGATCTCGAGACATATCCATTACTCAATCTCAATTATTGCTTTCTTTCTCAACTAAGACAGCTATAAAATGAAGAAGCTAAAAGCACAGCTAAATTTTCCACCAAAACAAATAAAAAAATAAACACAAAGATAAGTCCATTCAGTTAAAAATCTTCAACAGATGGGCATGTCCCAAATACATATTATAGAATCCCAACATTAACAATTAATATCTGGTTATGTTTCTTTAACCTAAATTAATTCCTCAACTTTATTAGAACATTTATTTTGTTCTATGTTATATGGAAATAGATGTTTAAAAATACGATTTTAAAATAAATAATTATATCACCTTCATAACATTCGTATTATAAGACTTATTACTATAGATGGGTAGAAAAAGTGTTATTTGCTAGCCACCAACTTTTCCTGGGTGGTAGAACCATCATATTCCACCCTGCACCAATTTATAAACTGTGTTAAATTATGCACAAGTGTGCATACACGATTATATCTTGTTAAGCATTTCTTCCTAAGTTTTTGATAAACAGCCAATCGTGGCATGTCATCAAAGCCTGAGAAGACTAAATAAGAAGATTGTTTAACGAGAATTTAAATATATTCATGTTTGAAAGAATCATTAGAATGTTTTCCTTAGTCTTGATGCATTTGGTAGTTCTTCAGAAAATCTACCGTCAACACTTGTATGTAGTGTTTATTCAAAATTGTTGTAAATATATATATTTTGAAGTTTGTTTAGTGAGGGGCAGGGGACATAATGAAGTGCCACAAATTCCACTTGACCTAAGTTCTCTACAACCAGCAACATAGAAATCTATTTTTGCAGACTACAAACTAAGAAAGTTTGCACAACTGAACTAAAGAGTGAATGTAAATCCTGTACATAAAAATCAGGGGTTGGTGTGGTACTATAGGATAAGCACTGGACTATTAACCCACAAGGTTGGCAGTTAAACCCCACCAGCCACTCCTCGAAAACCCTATACAGGGTCACTGTGAATCAGAAATGACTCAACAGCATTTAACAATAAAAACATGTTGATATTAAAGTTAAGATTCCACAATGGTTGCATAGGTTGAAAGATGTCAGAATCTTCATCCTTGATCAAACTCAAGGTCCAGTTCTATTCTTTTGCTATGATATCTTGAGACCAAGAATTCAGAGTAAGCTACCAGATCAAAATGTCATCAAACCAGAAATCTTTATTAATGGCCACTTTCACAAAGTATGGAGCTGTAAGATAAACACTGAGTTGTGAACCACAAGCCTGGTGATTTGAGTCGACCGGTTGCTCTGAGGGAGAAAGATGAGGCTTTCTGCTTCCAAAAAGATTTACCATTTCAGAAACCCGATACAGAATTGCTATGAGTCAGAACCAATTCTATGGTACTTAGCAACAACAAGAGGATAAGCATTAGACTGCTCACTGAAATGTCAGCAGTTCAAACCCAGCAGCAGCTCCTCAGAACAGACTCAACAGTACTTAATAACAACAGCTTTCACAATTGGCATTATAATGATATGCACTTGAAAGTCCTGGTAAACTTCTGAATCATCAAATAAAAGTTCTGTCGAAGAGGAAGACCCCAAACAAGATGGATTGGCCAAGTGGCAGCATTGATGGACTCAAGCGTGGCTACAGTAGTGAGGTTAGCCCAGGATCAGGCAGTGTTTCATTCTGCTGTGCATAGGGTCGCTATGAGTTGCTACTGACTCGATGGCACCTAACAACAAGAACGTCTCTATAAAATGTGTGTTAAATGCATTTACCTATAGCATTCTTCTTTAGAAAGGCAGAAAGGCAGAGTGAATATTAAGTTAATAGGAAGAAAGACCTTGAAAGATAGTCTGCTTGCTGATATTAGTTTAAAGTTGAAAGCCAGACAAAGAAGTTCAGTAAGAATTAGGAAATAAGGAGCCAGCAAAGCTGTTTATACCGGACAATGGCATGATGTTGTCAGTTTTAGGAAAGAGGCATCTGAAGGGTTAGGAAGATGGTAACAGAATCAAGGAGGTCACATAGAAGTTGTACTTGTATTTTTGTCATGGTCTTTATGTAAATAAAAATTTTAAAGTTCAAATCTTAAGATTTTTTACAAAGTAAAAAATCCACATAATTTTACTTGTTTTTTTTTGTTTTTTTTTTTTTCAATCTCTCCACTCCAGTCAGCTACAGAGGCATTTCTTAGGTTTCGATGCTTGGTAATTGGGAAGGATATCCCCCTAAAAGCAACTTTAAACATTTTTTAAAAAAGGAAATACTGTTCAGAAAGTGGCTCTTTCTTCTCTTTCACAAGCATAGATAGGAAAAGGAAGATGATGAAGATATAGAAAAGTAAAGAAATAGGATGAATCTCATTTTGACAAATGTATGTTGAATCAGACCCAACATATTAGGAAAGCATGTATGTATTATATGTGAAGGATGAATACCTTTCAAACTGTGGTACCCTTTGGGCCAGCCATCTCAATTTTGGGTATTCTATTCCAAGTAAAAAGAGCTCCGGTAGCATAGTAGTTACGAGTAGAGCTGCTAAATTAAAGGTCAGGAGTTCGAAACTACCAGTCATTCCACCGGAGAAAGATGAGACTTTCTGTTCCCGTATATCTTTATGGCCTCAGAAATTCTACACTGGGTTTCTATGAGTCGGAACCGATTCCAAAGCACACCACCACTACCACCACCATTCTAAGTAAAGGAGTCCTGGTCTTTCGCTGTAGGATGAGAACTGGAAGGTTGGCAGTTCAAACCCATCAGCCATTAATTGGAAACCCTATTCTGGGTTGCTAGAAGTCAGAGCCAATTGATGGCAGTTAACAACAACAACATCCTATGTACATTAGGAACCCTGGTGGCACTGTGGGCTACATGTAGGGATGCTAACGTCAGTTCAAACTCACCAGCTGCTCTACAGGAGAAAGATGGGGCTATCTGCTCGGAAACCTTATGGGGCTACTCTACCTTTGAGTGTTAGTATGAGTCAGATGGACTACATAGCAGTGATATTTTTGTCTGTTCTAGCATAAGTAATTTGGGGAGGGAGAGGGGCGATTTATGCAAAGATGACTATTTATGACAGTATTATTTGAACTGGTAGGACATTGGAAGATGTACGCATTCCACAATGGAGAAAAGGGGTTCTATAAAATGTGGTATATCACAGCAACTTAGCTAAATGTAGTTTCATAGCAAATTTTGAAAGATATTATTTGTAAGAATGCCTATGATAAGTAAGAAAAAAACTCAAGAATGAAATATATATTTTTTAATGCTTTATTGTGAATTATGTGATAGTTTACATGGGAGGACATCAGCTTCATATTGATCCCGTCATATATCA